GTCTCCTGATGGTATTTCGTACTTGCCAGGTCAAAGGTTGAACAAATGTACCTGTTCTGGTGAGGACCATCCTAGTCCAGGTAAAGGAAGAGGTGCTCCAGAATATGATGTTATTGAAGGTGAGATGGATTTAGAAAAATTCATAGGGGTTGCATCCCAATCCATGCAGATTGCTCCTTTTGATATTTGGTATTACCCCGATTACAACTTTATTTCAATTTACAACAAGTCAGTAACTACCATTAACACGTACACTGGTGGACCATTGCAACAAGCTGTCTCAGGAACAACGATATTGAATCGTACCTGGTATTCAGAAGGCATTGGGCAAAAGTTTCAGACATATGCATACGAGTACTTGAACGACGATGATGATGGATACTTGACATGGTATGTAGGGGAGGATCCAACAGTAACAGTCGAGGCTGCAGCCTTGGGTCCTAATGGAAACATAGGTCGCAGATTGATGTCAAAGGAACCAATGTCTATGGTCATGAATTTTGGTATTTCAAATAGTTGGGCTCAAATTGACTGGCTATCATTGACTTTTCCTCTTACTATGAGTATTGATCATGTCCGATTATATCAACCAGAAGATGCTATCAATTTAACCTGTGATCCCGATGATTACCCAACCTATAATTACATTCAAGCTCATCCAGAAGCTTATCAGAACAGTAACCTAACATCTTGGGCAGACACAAAATACGATACTCCTAAAAATTCTCTAGTTCATGGATGCTAGTTTATTTTGCATACCTGTATGTGCTTTGATATCCATTTAGTGGTGCTAAAAGACTGGGTTAGGATCTGAAATCAGACAATATATGTGTTGATGCAGATAATTTTGGAGAAACTAATGTTTTAACAGAATAATGATTTACAACAATTATTATTGATACTTGCAAACTTCTAATTTAATGGAAGGTTCATGGATACAAAAGTATGTATATGAACTAAATCTGATAAATCCTGCATTTAAAGCTTCTTGCAAATTAAGATTTGATGGATACTTCAAAAGCTTTAAAATACCTGCAACTGGCAAACTCTAAGATGCAGTTATTAGTGTGAGGAATTCCACTAAGGCATATGTAAGGCGAAAAATTAATAATCTTTGATAAAACGTGTATTTACTATATATTAAAACCCTATTAAAATATTATCCTTTGTAACGCCTCAGATGGTTTTGATTGTAAAGTCGTCTGAGGTGATTTTAGATTTTCTGCACATTTGTTCAAAAATGCTGTCCTTCGTATTGAATAAGTTCCAAGGTGTATCAAACTCCTTCACTTCTCCTTTTTCTAGAACCAAAATTCGGTCATAATTAATTATTGTTTTTAGTCTGTGAGCAATGCATAAAATGGTACAAGTTCCAAATTCTTTCAAGATAGTTTTTTGAATCTTATTATCTGTTTCGTAATCAACAGAACTTGTAGCCTCATCAAGAATGAGTATTTTAGTCCTTTTGACAAGTGCTCTTGCAAATGCAATGAGTTGTCTTTCACCCAAAGAAAAATTAGTTCCATTTTCCTGAACTTGCTTGAATAAGTGAAATTTGTTCAAATCTTCAGATTTTGGATCTTGGCTTTGAACTGAACTAATTTTCGATTCATCAATAAGGCCTGACCTTTTTAAAGCATCCCATAATTCTGTATCAGTATATTCATCGAATGGATCTAAGTTAGTTCGAATGGTCCCGGAAAACAAAATCGGATCCTGAGGAATAATTGATAGTCTTGACCTAAGATTGTTCAAACCTAAAGTTGAGATGTCGATTCCATCGATTTCAACAGATCCACTATTCAATTCAACAAGTCTGTATAGCGCCATCATTATTGATGACTTTCCAGCACCCGTTCTACCACAGACTCCTATTTTTTCCATTGGCTTAATATTGACATCCAAATCCTTTAATACTAAGGGTAATTCGGGTCTATAAGCCATAGATGCATGGTTAAATGAAATTTGACCTTTTTCTGGCCAAGAAGGGGGAGGGGAATTTTCAGTGATCACATATGGAGCTTCCTCTGGTAAATCAAATGCATAATGGCAAATTCTTTCAACTGAATTCATTTCGTTCTCAACTTGAGTAAGTGTTTTAAGAAGAAACGAAAGCTGGCCAACAATCTGCAAAATATAAGACATCAACAAACCGACAGACGAAGAGTTAATATGAAATACACGATTAACACACAACATGGCAACAAGTAAAACAAATACCGCACCTACCATGTCCAAACTGATAGTGAGCCATCTCTGGTTTGCAATTGTTAAATAATAAGCCTCGTTCATTTTGTCAATGAGAAAACTGTTCTTGTTCAAAAACCGATGTTTAGACTTGTATGCAACTATGGTACCCATTCCACTTAAAGTCTCATTAAAATTATCATAAACAAATGAACGTTGAACAGCTTCTAGTCTTTTAATTTCTCTTGCCGAAGCTTGATAATAATTTGCTATTGCAACAAAGAGAAATAATAATGGAGGAACTGCAATAGCGAACCAAGGTAAATAACAAATGCACAAAATTAACACACCGGTAATGTTTGCGATGAAATAGAACAATACAGTTAATTGTTCGACTATTTCATTATCTAATGCATCAGTATCCTTCGTGAATCTGTTAAAAATCCGTCCCATAGGGGTAGTATCCATGAACGACATTGGTACAAACAAAATTTTCTTTACTGCCATTAAATTTAACGTCCGTGATGCAATCGTAGTAACATAAGCTAACACAAAAAATTCCAACGTAAGGAAGATAAAAGCCAAGAAAGTAAACGTCACATACAAACCAATATAGAAGTTGTCCAGTCTACCAGGAAACTTTTTAGACGTCCAAAATGAAAGCCAGGTATTGGTAAAAAGTTCGAAGTATGTAGCTAAAACTGTAAAAAGAAGAAAAAGGAAAATGATACAGAAACTTGAAAATATACCAGATCCATATTTCACATAGTTCTTGTAAACCTTGAATTCAATTCTATTAACTGCTCTTTCCTCAGCCAGGAATAATTTACCATCATCAATTCTGTCCAAATTAACACCATTTCTTCCAGATTTTTCATCCTCGATGTACGAAGTTGTTGTAGTTCGCCTCATTAATTGCTCTTCAATGTATTGTTTTTCATCTTCAACTCCAGCAAACTTTGAATCATTTTCTACATTATTTGTTACGTCCCTGACAACTTCTTGCGCATTCAATGACATAAGGTCTTTAAAGCCTGAACTGTTTTGAATTAGCTCATCGAACTTGCCTATTTCTAATGATCCATCTCCATTCATAAAAATAACTTTATCAGCGGAACCAATCAAAGACAATTGGTGAGTAGCAAGTATTCTAGTTTTAGAACTAAGAGTCCCTAAAATGCAATTGTTCATTATATGTTTACCAACTCTTGCATCAACAGCAGACAAAACATCATCTAGTAATATTATATCTTTGTTAGTATATACAGCTCTTGCCAAATTGAGTCTTGCTTTTTGACCTCCCGATAAAGTGATCCCCCGTTCACCGATTTCTGTTTTATCTCCTGCCGGTAATATTTCCATATCACTTTCTAATGAGCAAGCATGAACTACTTCTTTATAGAAGTCTGGGTCGAAATCAGAACCGAATAAGATGTTTTCTTTAAAAGTCTCATTCTGAATCCAAGGTTCACCACAAGATATAAGAGATCCACATACATTAACTTCCCCAGATGTCCGTGTCATTAGCCCAGATATAGCACTCAACAAGGATGACTTTCCAGATCCAATAACTCCTGTAATGACTACAAACTCTCCCTTATTTACGGTTAAGTTCACATCTATTAATCCTTTAAATGGTGTTTCATTGTCTTTGTCCTCTTCATCTAAATTCCTTTCTGATGTAGAATTAGTAGTTGAAGAGTTTTTCGATTCATCTGAATTTTCGTCACTAATTTTCGAATCTTCGTCACTTACATCGAATGTTTCCCAGATAAACGTGGCATTATTAACCTCAACAGCAATATTATTTTCTTGCATTCTTCCTAAAGTCTTACCACTTGCTTCTATTTTGCGATAGGTTTGGTCTGACTCTTCAGAAGCTAAAAATTGTCCCACTCTTTGTAGTCCTACGTGGGCATCGGTAGTGGTTGCCAAAGCCAAAGGTAACATAATTACTTGTTCAGATAAAATTCCAAATAAAGTAAGTGATGAAAATATTGACGCAGGATCATGTCTATCACTATCAATTGCATACAAAACAAGGAACGAAACCATGGAACATATCAAGTTGACTGATATAGCAATCGAGATAATTAAATTTCTTAAGACCTGCATTCTCAATATCCATTTAGTTTCTTCGTTTCTAATTCCAGATATTTTTTTGAGGTAGGCAGATTCCCAAGAGTAAAACTTGATAATTTTCAAATTATACAAAACTTCTCGAATACTTGAAATTCTTTGATCTGTGGATATATTTGCCTTTTTTCTGAATTTGAACAAGAAGTAGCCTACCCCCATAATTAATACCAAAACAAGAATAATAACGGCAATTCCCGTCAATGCAGAGACACCAATGTTAACTATCAATATCGCAATACTGACAATAATTGGGATGGGGATGATGAGTAAAAGTGGCTGTAGTCCCAACCCGAGATCTATTCTAGCCGTATCAGTAGACATCATAGAGGTAATTTTAGCATGGGGAAAATTCAGTTTGGATTTTGGGCTCAATATGAAGGATTTATCTAGAATACTTTTAATTAAGACTGCTTTTGTTTTGGCCCCGATAAGCATAGCACGATAAAAATAATGATTACCCATAAAGCCGGTGAAAACTACCATTCCCACAGTGCCAAAAGCATACCCCAAACCTTTACCAATACCCAATTCCACTCCTACTGCTTTATACTCTACATATTTAATGAGTTCCTTTGTCACTAGAGCAATGCAAGACGAAGTACCATACATCAATGCCAAAAATATAACTGCAGCAAAATATTCCCACTTAAAAGTTTCGATGATTACAAACCAAGGTAGGAATTGCGGTGGCGTGAAATCCTCCAAATCGTCTTTGTACTGGTCTATGTCAGATATTTCAACTTTTTCATTTCTGTTTTTAAATTTTTGAATGATATGTTTTCTCTTCGCTTTATCGACCTTCTTCTTGAATAGTTTGTTGAACCGTGCGCTCATTTGTTCTACACTGATATCATCAGTTAAGGTAAATAGGTCTTCTGGTTGTAATGTTCTCATGTATCCTGGGTTCATCACGGGTATCATCCACCAAAAGAATGCTTTGGAGAAAATCCCAGCTCTTTTTTCCCCATACAGAAGACGTTCATCTTCGTTTGGTAGCGGTGGAACTGTCTTTGGCCAGAGAAACGATAAGAGTCTTTGCTGGCGTTCTAATCCATTATCCTCTAATGAGCTAGAATCTAATTTGTTGGCCTTATTCTCTACCATTTTTCATTTTGTAAGACATTAAATCTAAAAAATTTGAAGACACGGCGCTTTTTATATAATGGATGCGTTTAAAACTATGAGGAAATATGACAAATAATTCCTAATATAAAATCTAAACGATCTTGGAACCAAATACGATAACGTCTAAAAATACCTACATATAATCCTATCAAATTCGAATATAGACATCGCAACATTTAAGTTTATATCTGCTTGACGCATATTTCAGGAAGTTTAAAAAAAGTTGCGCCAATGCCTATTATGGCACACATGTGTCTGTAAGTGACATGTGGATGGTAGTAGCTTAGTATATCTCTATGGCCAATCTTTACTAAGAATTGGCCACGTTAAGAACATTAGCCCTGCATAAGGGTGCCAAATTCTTCTAGCCGTTCTCTTATCTAACGATTTCATTTAATAAATATAATCAAGGAGCAGCAAAATTCGGTAAAGAGTAAAGGAATATTAATTCTAAGTAGTAATTCAGTATTTTCAAATCTGAGAACTGAACAGTTGTATAATTTTTGACCGAAAAGGGAGTAGTAAATTATGGCAAAAAGGGACTTGACATTCAATTCCCCCATAGAGATAAATGATACTTTCATAGAGGATCCATTCACTTCTAGCTCCAGTGAAAATACTATGGAGGAGCTGGATGTTAGCGAACAAGATGTGAGAAGAAATTCTGTTTATGGGTCTACGTTTCGAATGGACTACGAACATTCTTCGTTGCATGATATCGAAGCAGGCTTGTTAGCGAGCGAAGTATTAAGTACAAATTACCAAGACTTTGACAGTTCAGAGGGAGTGATAAACGGAGCAGACCCATTCAATATACAGCAACCAACAGATTACGATAGATATCCATCTATGGCAGGTTCCAAAATATCGTCCAGTTCACTCCCATCAAATTTGTTCCCTGCTTCGAATAATCTTAATAGATTCCCGAAAATATCTCAACAGGAACAAGATATTTTGTCTGTATCAAGCAAGCCCAATAAGCCATTGCGAGGTAGCAAAGACTTCAGTCCATTTGGTGGATATCCGGCTACATTGTTTCCATTGCGTATAGATGAGAAAGAGGCAGATGATTATTTGCATAACCCAGATCCTATCGAAGATGCGGACTATAAC